CACCTTTAAGTATTCTAAGTATACTTGGCTTGTAGTTGTGTTTAAACTTTTGATTGAGTAGCCTAAATACTTTCACATAGTTTTACATACAATCTTATAAACTTATAGAGTTAAAGTGCAGTTAAAGGTATATTTGAAGTATAAAAAATTAATACCTGAATAGGAATATAGTATAGTATACTTAGGGTGTATTCACACCTGCCTTGTTTGGTTCGATTGAATCAAACTCTAGTCTGTTTCCCCCCTTGGTGCGGACCTTTTGGGCAGGTGTGAATACAGCAATCGAACTCGGGTGCGGACCAAACAACCGAACCGAGACCCAGCTGAAGAGGTGCTCTCGGTACGCTTCCAAACGAACTCTGGTACGGTTCGTTTACGGTGTGAACATGAACCGACCCAATTGCAAGAAAGCACTGCGCCTTTGAGTTAAAATGCTTCCGTAGTCGGAGACTTTGGCATAATGGTTTGTGTAATTGTTGTTCAAGTGCGAAAGAGAATTCCATTCCGGCGCACTGTCTGGCCACACGATACTGCTGCGCGTCTTTCTGCGCGTCGTGTGTGTGCGTCATTGGAATGGAATGAATGAGTGTGTGCATCAGGACATTCACATACAGAGCGTTCTCTTTAGTCTAATCGCGCATAGATGTAAAACAAGCTTGCAAGCGTTAACATTGATAGCACTTGTTAGCAGTATACAATAAAAATCTCATTATTTGAATGTATGAACATAGCCCCTCTCTATGAATGAAAACTTTATACCTTATATGTCTTCTGCGCAGTTTCTTGATATTGCGTTTGTACAGAATAACACAAAATTAGTAAAAGAACAAATATTGCAGTACGAAATATCTCCATGCTGAGCCTTTTTTGCACTTCCTGATTTCCCTACTTGAGAATCCCTGTCCAATGAATGGACGACCTTAGCACACGTGTGGTTTTGTTTACAAATTTTGGTTCACTTGCAAAAAGAGCAGTGTGAAAGCGAACCGTACCAAAAAAAAAAAAAAAAAAAAAAAAATTTGGTCCGGACCAAAGCAAGTGAACTATCGGACTTTCCTGGTGTGAATACACCCTTAAAGTGCAAAATAATATATTAGTAGTAATTACATAGTAAGGGCCAGATGTTACAATCCCAACTGATTGTAAAATGTTATATTGTGTGTGTGTGTGTGTGTGTCTGAGAGAGTTAGTGAGAGAGTGTCGGGTTAGTGTCGGGTTAGTGTAGGGTTAGTGTCGGGTTAGTGTAGGGTTAGTGTAGGGTTAGAGTCGGGTTAGAGTCGGGTTAGTGTTGGGTTAGTGTAGGGTTAGTGTAGGGTTAGTGTAGGGTTAGCGTCGGGTTAGTGTAGGGTTAGTGTTGGGTTAGTGTCGGGTTAGTGTCGGGTTAGTGTCGGGTTAGTGTAGGGTTAGTGTAGGGTTAGTGTAGGGTTAGTGTTGGGTTAGTGTAGGGTTAGTGTCGGGTTAGTGTCGGGTTAGTGTCGGGTTAGTGTAGGGGGATAGAATAAACAGTTTGTATAGTATAAAAGCCATTACGTCTATGGAGAGTTCCCACAAAGATAGCCAACCAGACGTGTGTCTGTGTGTGTGTGTGTGTGTGTGAGAGAGAGAGAGAGCGTGGCATGTGTGTGTTCAGAACAGTCTAAAGATCGTCTCTAGTTTGTTTGTAAATGTTTTAAAGGAACAGCAGATAAAAATAAAGACTTCTATAACCGTCAGGACGAGACACATTCTCTGGAATTCACAACCACGGTTCCCGTGGCAACGAGCCAGGTGCATTGTGGGACCGATAGAGGCTGACGTCTGCAAACACAACTGGGCTGAATTATTGAAGTCTTTGTCCTGAACTAAAGTGTTTTAACTCCTGTCTCAGATCACAGCGCACTGATACACACATTTACTGTGCAAACAAACACTGACATGTTCAAAAGCGGCAAGAGTCTCTTACTGTGATCCTGAAAACAAATGATACACTCCCTGCATTATTAGAACCAGACGGCACGTTTTCATGTGGTCTGATACATGATACATGAGCAAATAGAGAGACTTCAGATGTGGTCACTATTGTGTTCCATACACACACACACACACACACAAACTACTGGAACCTGCTGAGTGAGAATGAGACCTCAGGGTAAAACTCTTTTGTGAAAAGAATTGAGTTTTATTTACGTTGCCATCTTTGATGTCACTTTAGTCACTGTCACTATGGTTACAGCTGATCTATCCCATCACATGTTCGTACAGACAGTGTACGAGACACTATTGTGTCAACAGGATATTTCAACACTCAAATTCACAAATCATTCTCAAAACTGGCCTTAGTATAAATAATAATAATAATATGTCTATCGAGAGTGACATTCTCCAAAAATGGGATTTTACTGACATTATCAAGGACTTTTCAGCTAGAAAACAAGGAAAAATGTTTCTGAAGTTATGTCAATTGAATTTTTTAATACATGAGCATAAATGTAAATGTATATGTATTGGCTAATGGGGTTAGGTAAAGTTTATGTAAAGGCACCCCTGCTCACAGGTCATGCTCAGGGTCAGGGGTCAGGTCACTGGTCAACAAGTGTTATTATTACCAATGGCGTTTTGGGACTGGCAGTCGTAGCGATTCACAAACATGAATCTGGCCTGGCTTATTTATGCAGGTAACCTGCATTAGACATAATACATGACTGGACTGTAGATCAAATGTTAAAACAGTAAGCTTAACATGATACATATAGATATAAAGCATGAGTCGTCATCATCATACAGATGTGTATTTCTCGTCTGGTGACATTAGAGGCTCGCGCTGCTGCTGATCTGTCAATCACTCCGAGGGGCGCGGGAACGCGCAGACCCGCATCACCTCACTGTATTCTGACTGGAACGCGGAAAATATGACCAAAATATTGTATTTCACAGATTATTGTTCTTTTTCTTGGCTTGTCGTTTTTCAGTCGACGTTCTATTGTATAATGATGTGTAGTGATGAGTGATGCACCCCTGCGGTGTGAGATGGTTTAAGCCTTCTTTCATCTGATGACGCGACCGCAGAATCTCTGATCTCTCTCTCTCTCTCTCTCTCTCTCTCTCTCTCTCTCTCTCTCTCTCTCTCTCTCTCTCTCTCTCTCTCTCTCTCTCTCTCTCTCTCTCTCTCTCTCTCTCTCTCTCTCTCTCTCTCTCACACCGCTGCCGTGTTCCGGTGATGAAGAGAGAGAGAGAGACGGAGGCGCGTGTTCCGCATCAGACACACACACACACACACACACACACACGGAATATCGACTTCGGCAGCGTTTGTCCTCGTGTTTTTGGCCCGACTCGCCGCAGTTGAACTCTCAGATGCATCTCTGCTCCAGCGCTCGCGGATTATGATCATTTTTCTGCCGCTTTCATGGACTGCCATCTATGAAGACACCCTGAGGACTTCATTACTCCGAGCCGCAGTCTCATATATGGTGATTAAGCTACGCTTTTGTTTATACTATGATCTCTGATATTATCTAAAAATTTTACAAATATTTGTACAAATATACAAAACATATTGAATTTGACTACATGAAAACAATAGGACTGTTTTTGTTTGGAATCCAAATCTTTTTCTTTTCTTTTTAAACCAAAGGACAGCAGGTGTTTCAGAATCCAGTGAATATCCCGACTCCAGTGAATATCCCGACTCCAGTGAATATCCCGACTCTAGTGAATATCCCGACTCTAGTGAATATTTGACTCCAGTGAATATCTGACTCCAGTGAATATCCCGACTCTAGTGAATATCCCGACTCTAGTGAATATCTGACTCCAGTGAATATCTGACTCCAGTGAATATCTGACTCCAGTGAATATCCCGACTCCAGTGAATATCCCGACTCTAGTGAATATCTGTCTCCAGTGAATATCTGACTCCAGTGAATATCTGACTCCAGTGAATATCTGACTCCAGTGAATATCTGACTCCAGTGAATATCTGACTCCAGTGAATATCCCGACTCTAGTGAATATCTGACTCCAGTGAATATCTGACTCCAGTGAATATCTGACTCCAGTGAATATCTGACTCCAGTGAATACCCCGACTCTAGTGAATATCCCGACTCTAGTGAATATCTGACTCCAGTGAATATCTGACTCCAGTGAATATCTGACTCCAGTGAATATCCCGACTCCAGTGAATATCTGACTCCAGTGAATATCTGACTCCAGTGAATATCCGACTCCAGTGAATATCCGACTCCAGTGAATATCCGACTCCAGTGAATATCCCGACTCCAGTGAATATCCGACTCCAATGAATATCCGACTCCAGTGAATATCCCGACTCCAGTGAATATCCCGATTCCAATGAATATCCGACTCCAGTGAATATCCGACTCCAGTGAATATCCCGACTCCAATGAATATCCCGACTCCAGTGAATATCCCGACTCCAGTGAATATCCGACTCCAATGAATATCCGACTCCAGTGAATATCCCGACTCCAGTGAATATCCCGATTCCAATGAATATCCGACTCCAGTGAATATCCGACTCCAGTGAATATCCGACTCCAGTGAATATCCCGACTCCAGTGAATATCCGACCCCAGTGAATATCCCGACTCCAGTGAATATCCCGACTCCAGTGAATATCCCGATTCCAATGAATATCCGACTCCAGTGAATATCCGACTCCAGTGAATATCCGACTCCAGTGAATATCCCGACTCCAATGAATATCCGACTCCAGTGAATATCCGACTCCAGTGAATATCCGACTCCAGTGAATATCCGACTCCAATGAATATCCGACTCCAGTGAATATCCCGACTCCAGTGAATATCCCGATTCCAATGAATATCCGACTCCAGTGAATATCCGACTCCAGTGAATATCCGACTCCAGTGAATATCCCGACTCCAGTGAATATCCCGACTCCAATGAATATCCGACCCCAGTGAATATCCCGACTCCAGTGAATATCCCGATTCCAATGAATATCCGACTCCAGTGAATATCCGACTCCAGTGAACACCCCGACTCCAGTGAATACCCCGACTCTGTTGGGATGAAGGAGGTGTGTCGTGTGTGCTCCGGGGATCTGTGTGGGAACCAGCGGCGATGGCTCTTCCACCCGTCAGCCAAGCTAAAGCTGCAGGTTCTGTTGTCTCAGGCTCTTGGCCGCGAGCTTCAGCGCGACGGGCGCCGCGAGTTCGTCTGCAGCAAGTGCTCCTTCATGCTGGACCGCATGTTCCGCTTCGACACGGTGATCGCCCGCGTGCAGGCGCTGTCCCTTGCGCGTCTGCGCAGACTCCTGCAGGAGAGGGAGCGTCTGCGCATCTGCATCACTGCGCTCTATAACAAACACAACTTGCAGGGGGCGCCGGAGGCGAGCGCTGATGACCCGTCCCTTCACCAGTACTGTGCGCTGCTGCAGGAGGACCTCACCTACTCCATGCACGAGTCCTGGGCGGAGGACGAGGAGCAGATGTGGGAGTGTTCCCTCAATCCCCCGTGCCGCACGTTAGAGTCGTCCTCGCGCAGGTGCCGAGCGCTGCGTGTCTCCGACGCTGACTACGAGGCCGTGTGTAAAGTGCCCCGGAAGCTGTGGAGGAGCGTCTCCTGTGGCCCGTCCACACGCTACTCCAGGACCGCCACCGGGAGCGCCTGTGGGGAAGAGCGGACCGCCACCGGGAGCGCCTGTGGGGAAGAGCGGACCGCCACCGGGAGCGCCTGTGGGGAAGAGCGGACCGGCACCGGGAGCGCCTGTGGGGAAGAGCGGACCGGCACCGGGAGCGCCTGTGGGGAAGAGCGGACCGGCACCGGGAGCGCCTGTGGGGAAGAGCGGACCGGCACCGGGAGCGCCTGTGGGGAAGAGCGGACCGCCACCGGGAGCGCCTGTGGGGAAGAGCGGACCGCCACCGGGAGCCACTGGACGTCCAGCTCATCAGACGGTGATCACACACTCCGAGAGCGGCTGAGCTGCGGCGGCTCGCTGGAATCCCTGGATGCGTCTGAGGAGCATCTCGGGGCATCCGAGGAACCTCCGTCACGGCTGGCGCTGGTTCTGCTGCAGGACTGTGTGTACCGGCCCGTCCGGACTCCTCCTGGCTGCAGGCTCCCTGTTCTGGTGCATCCTGGGGTTTTTAATGGAGGAGCTAAACTGGCCAGTCCAGAGCAGGGGATCCTGTTTGGTGGAGCGAACCACATGATGCTGGAGCCGGAGAGAGACACGCCGGAGCCGGAGAGAGTCCCGCTGGAGCCGGCTCTGGAGGAGTCGGAGCTGCAGGACGAGTACCTGCCCTTCTGTTTCCGGAGGCTCCCACAGGTGAAGCGTTTACTAACAGGACCGTAAGATCCGTGTTGCTTTGGGTCGGCAAACGGATGCATTCAGATGTCGCTTCCCACACGGTTTGTGCTGGCAATACATGTTTCATGCATGTAATGATTTAAAAACACAACTGTCCCATTCAGTTTTTGTCATGTTCATCACTTTGCATATTTTGGGTCTGTGAGGTTCATGGCAATATTTATTTGAGATGCACCGAAATGAAAATTCTGGGCCGAAACCGAAAATTCAGGATTAAATACAAATACATTATTTAATCAAACTTGTTTAATAATCAACACTCAAATAGCTAAAACTGAGTTCTACAAATAGGACATAAGGCTGTTTTTATATAAACTTTTTTATGTCATGATTGTTTCTACTCACAGTTTATTGTTGTTTAAATGTTTATATTTCACCAACAAACTGAATAACTTGTTTTCATGACAGATCTATTTAAACATACATTAAGTATATAAATATGTACATTAAATAATGAAGACGTCACAAACAGGTTAAAGCTCCAGTCCGTAACTTTAAGAGAGCAGCCAGAAAAATGGAGCGCAACTGGAAGAAAACTAAACTAGAGGTATTTCGCATTTCATGAAAGGAGAGCTCGACTGCATACAGAGAGGCCTTAAAAGCTGCTAGATCTGCTTATTTTCAACCCTATTAGAAGAAAATAAACACAACCCTAGGTATTTATTTGAAACAGTGGCTAAATTAACGAAAAATAAAACTTCAACCCCGGACGTTTTCAAGCAACACAGCAGTAATGACTTTATGAACTTCTTCACTTACAAGATTGATAATATTAGAGAGAAAATTATAACTATGCAACCGTCCACTACAGTATCGCATCAGGGAGTGCATTGTAGTCTCCCTGAGGAAAAACTCTGTTCATTCCTTGCTATAGGAGAGGAAGAATTGTCTGAACTCGTTAAATCATCTAAATCGACAACTTGTATGTTAGACCCTATACCGACTACGCTACTGAAAGAGATGCCTCCAGAGGTCATAGATCCTCTTCTTAATATCATTAATTCATCTTTGTCACTAGGATACGTAAGCTCTTACGTACCAAAAACTTTTAAGCTGGCTATGATTAAATCACTTGTTAAAAAAACGCAACTTGATCTTAGAGAATTAGTCAATTACAGGCCGATCTCGAATCTTCATTTTCTGTCAAAGATACTAGAAAAGCAGTATCCTCACAACTGTGTTCCTTTCTTGAAAGAAATATCTGAGAGGATTTCCAGTCCGGATTTAGACCGTACCATAGCACTGAGACCGCTCTCATCAGAGTCACAAATGATCTGCTCTTATCATCCGATCGCGGTTGTATCTCTCGATTAGTGTTACTCGATCTTAGTGCTGCATTTGCTAATTACTAAACACGTAATATGCATGTGCACGCTGTCAGCGTTTTCACAGATTCGCGTTTTTGAAGTTTACACAGAGATGATAACGTTTTTCAAAATTATTCAACGCTTGCACTTGGATCCTGTTTCAGAGTGTGTGTTCTCGAGCTCAAACACTGTCGTGTGAATGAGCGGCCGGGACACATTAACAGTGTCTGTCTTCAGTAGAGCGGTGTCGTGTTAGCGGCCGCTGAGTTAATCACTAATGATCTTTACAACGGAAGTGAATCAATCAAAACTAACTTTATCTGGACAATAACTTTATTATAGAGCTGCTGTAAAGCCTAAACAATCTCTGTTACTGTAATCTCCTGTTATCACTGTAAAGCTGCTGTGAGGAGGTGTGTGTTGGTGAAGCTGCTATGAAACATCTATATTGTTAAAAGCCCTATATAAATGAAGGTGACTTGACTATAATGAATATATAATACAGTGCATATATTTATCTGAACGCTCCCCTCTAGAGTTATTTTTCTAGTTGAATATTGAGTTTATGGTCACTGAATGAGGTGAATGTGACGTTACATGACATTATTCTCACATTATTGACGACTTTCTGCGGTTTAAACACTGATTGATGGATTACACGAGACATGATTGATTTCAGTAAGTGTTTTGAATCTTTCAACTTTCCTCCTGATGTTCATTGATGTTTATTTGCTGCTGTAACTGGTAGTAAAGAGGAAGATCGGCTAAAGCGATCGGTCACGCCGTAATAAAATCAACAGCATTTTAGTTAAGATTTTGCTTCTTAAAGTAACAAAGCACAAATCTTTTTGATTACTGGATGGTAGACGCTACGAATGTTTAGTGAAGTTTTGTTCACGCATCAACAGAAAACAGCACAGACTAAAACATTTTAGATTTAAGAAACCGATTAAAATGGAGGAATCCAGAGCTAGTGTCGCACAGCTGACGTGTTTAACTGCTAATGTCAAGAAAAAGACACTGAACACGGAAAAAAACGTGCCATCGGAGAAGCGCTAGTTAACAAAACTGCTGTTTCGGCTGAATATTTCCGGTAGCTGATATTTGGGTGCATCCCTAATAAAGACATTTTAATGTTTGGTTTATTTGTCTCGTTGTTTTTGTGCGATATAGAGTTCTGGTGCTAAGTCGCTACTTTAGGTTGAATCTTTTAAAAAGCACCAAACCAAAAATAAACATCTGCAGTTTGTGTTTGAGGTTATTCGCTTAATAATTTTTCACCTGATCAGCTTATAAATAGGAGCTGAAGCTGAATCAACACAAACTGTTCCTGCTCCAAACCGGCACTGATGAATGAAGCCACTGTCTGAGCCGTACCGTCATCAGATCAGAGATCTTTTGTGTTCTCTCTCTTTCCTCACATCTCTCTATAATCACTCGTTCTCACTGAAGTCTCCGTTAACCCACAGATAGCCTGACATTTACAGTTAAATAGGTTAACATGGAGAGTGTGGCAGAACCACTGGCCTAGATCTCTCACGAAGCCCTCTAGCCAAAACACACACACACACACACACACACACACACACAAAGTGATGTCTGACCTCAATGCATCACAGTTAAAGGACCTCATATGCGTCAGAATAAACAGTCAGATGAATACAGTCCAAATTCATGTACTCAAAGATTTTCTAAAACATTGACCGTCGATGCTCTTTTGAATAAATTAAGCAATACTGGTGTGTGTGTGTTGTGTGTGTGTGTGAGAACCGGACGATATTAAAAGCAGTTCAAATCAGAGTTTATTTTCCCCAAGAGTTGACACAAGTACAGTAGGTTCCAGCAGTGTAAACCAGGTCTGATGTTGTGTTGTTCTGACCGGAGCTGGTTGTGGGTTAGGGTCAGGGTTCTTCAGGGTTCTTCAGGTTTCTTCTCTGGTTTCTTCAGACTCTGATGGAGGAGCAGCAGACGCAGACGCTTCAGTTTGATCACAGCGCGGGACAGTGTGTCGCTCAACTGCAGAATGCACAGATGCAGGTCGAGGCTCTGCAGACTCAGATCCATCACAGCGAGACCAGCAACAAGGTACAAGAGCTACACGACCCACAAAAAACATTAAAAACATTGATAATAATCATAAGTGTTTCTTGATCATCAGATCATCATATTAGAGTGATTTCTGAAGGATCATGTGACACTGAAGACTGGAGTAATGATGCTGAAATTCAGCTTTGATCACAGGAATAAATTACACTTCACTGTATATTCACATAGAGAACAGCTGAGTTACACTGGAATAATTTGTATTCATTTCTGTGAATCAGTTCAAAACTCTGATTTAGTGATTCGTTCGTTCATGTATATTCACTCTAAAGTGTCTCATGTTCACTTTTTAAAGTGCTGTAGTTTAGTTTTTGTTTGTTTTGTTGACTGCCGGCTCAGATGTTTGTGTTTGTGACTCAGAAGCTGCAGGAGAAAGTGTGTGAGATGGAGTCAGAGCTGCTGTCCATCAGACAAGCTGCACAGAACCAGCAGAGAACCATCCAGAACCTCACAGACAGCCTGAGAACGAAAGACACAGAGGCGATTACACACACACACACTCATTCACTCTCTCTCTCACACACACACACACACACACACACACACACTCTCTCTCTCTCTCTCACTCACACACACACACACACACACACACAAACTCTCACTCACACACACACACACACACACTTACACTAACACTCACACTCCCCATCCAGACAAGCCCATATTCATGCTCTCTCTCTCTCTCTCTCTCTCTGTGTGTGTGTGTGTGTGTGTCTAGACTCAGGAGCTCTACCATGTGATTGAGGACCAGAAAAACACACTGTGTAAACTCACAGAGACACACCAGCAGCAGCTGCAACACACACAGGTGAGCACACACACACACACGGATACAGTGCCTCCGGAAAGTATTCACAGCGCTTCACTTTTTCCACATTTTGTTCCACAATTTATTAAAAATAAAAAAATCACATGTACATAAGTATTCACAGTCTTTGCCATGACACCCAAAATTGAGCTCAGGTGCATCCGGTTTCTACCCATCATCCTTGAGGTGTTTCTTCAACTGGATTGGAGTCCACCTGTGGTAAATTCAGTTGATTGGACATGATTTGGAAAACGCACACCTGTCTATATAAGGTCCCACAGTTAACAGTGCATGTCAGAGCACAAACCAAGCCATGAAGTCCAAGGAATTGTCTGTAGACTGCCGAGACAGGATTGTATCGAGGCACAGATCTGGGGAAGGGTGCAGAAACAGTTCTGCAGCATTGAAGGTCTCCATGAGCACAGTGGCGTCCATCATCCATAAATGGAAGAAGTGTGGAACCACCAGGACTCTTCCTAGAGCTGAGCGATTGGGGGAGAAGGGCCTCAGTCAGGGAGGAGACAGAGAACCCGATGGTCACTCTGGCAGAGCTCTCTCTGTGGAGAGAGGAAAACCTTCCAGAAGAACAACCAGCTCTGCAGCTCTCCACCAATCAGGCCTGAGAACCTTCCAGAAGAACAACCATCTCTGCAGCTCTCCACCAATCAGGCCTGAGAACCTTCCAAAAGAACAACCAGCTCTCCACCAATCAGGCCTTAGAACCTTCCAGAAGAACAACCATCTCTGCTGCTCTCCACCAATCTAGTTTGAGAACCTTCCAGAAGAACAACCATCTCTGCAGCTCTCCACCAATCAGCCCTGAGAACCTTCCAGAAGAACAACCATCTCTGCAGCTCTCCACCAATCAGGCCTGAGAACCTTCCAAAAGAACAACCAGCTCTCCACCAATCAGGCCTGAGAACCTTCCAAAAGAACAACCAGCACTCCGCCAATCAGGCCTGAGAACTTTCCAGAAGAACAACCATCTCTGCAGCTCTCCACCAATCAGGCCTGAGAACCTTCCAGAAGAACAACCATCTCTGCAGCTCTCCACCAATCAGGCCTGAGAACCTTCCAGAAGAACAACCATCTCTCCAGCTCTCCAACAATCAGCCCTAAAAACCTTCCAGAAGAACAACCATCTCTGCAGCTCTCCACCAATCAGGCCTGAGAACCTTCCAAAAGAACAACCATCTCTGCAGCTCTCCACCAATCAGGCCTGAGAACCTTCCAAAAGAACAACCAGCTCTCCGCCAATCAGGCCTGAGAACTTTCCAGAAGAACAACCATCTCTGCAGCTCTCCACCAATCAGGCCTGAGAACTTTCCAAAAGAACAACCATCTCTGCAGCTCTCCACCAATCAGGCCTGAGAACCTTCCAAAAGAACAACCAGCTCTCCGCCAATCAGGCCTGAGAACTTTCCAGAAGAACAACCATCTCTCCAGCTCTCCACCAATCAGGCCTGAGAACCTTCCAGAAGAACAACCATCTCTGCAGCTCTCCACCAATCAGGCCTGAGAACTTTCCAAAAGAACAACCAGCTCTCCACCAATCAGGCCTGAGAACCTTCCAGAAATACAACCATCTCTGCAGCTCTCCACCAATCAGGCCTGAGAACCTTCCAGAAGAACAACCATCTCTGCAGCTCTCCACCAATCAGGCCTGAGAACTTTCCAAAAGAACAACCAGCTTTCACCAATCAGGCCTGAGAACCTTCCAGAAGAACAACAATCTCTGCAGCTCTCCACCAATCAGGCCTGAGAACCTTCCAGAAGAACAACCATCTCTGCAGAACTCCACCAATCAGACCTGAGAACCTTCCAGAAGAACAACCATCTCTGCAGAACTCCACCAATCAGGCCTGAGAACTTTCCAAAAGAACAACCATCTCTGCAGAACGCCACCAATCAGGCCTGAGAACCTTCCAGAAGAACAACCATCTCTGCAGCTCTCCACCAATCAGACCTGAGAACTTTCCAAAAGAACAACCAGCTCTGCAGCTCTCCACCAATCAGGCCTGAGAACTTTCCAAAAGAACAACCAGCTCTCCACCAATCAGGCCTGAGAACCTTCCAGAAGAACAACCATCTCTGCAGCTCTCCACCAATCAGGCCTGAGAACCTTCCAGAAGAACAACCAACTCTACAGCTCTCCACGAATCAGCAGAAGCCACTCCTCAGTTAAAGGCACATGACAGCCCCCCTGGAGTTTGCCAAAAGGCACCTGAAGAACTATCAGACCATGAGAAAGAACAGTCTCTGGTCTGATGAAACAAAGATTTAACTTTTTGACCTGAATGGCATGTCTGGAGAAAAGCAGGCACCGCTCATCACCTGGACAATACCATCCCTACAGTGAAGCAGCATCAGCTGTAGGGGTGTTTAACAGCAGCAGGGACTGGGAAACTCGTCAGGATCTAGGGAAAGATGAGGAACTGGGAGACTCGTCAGGATCGAGGGAAAGATGAGGAACTGGGTGACTCGTCAGGGTCGAGGGAAAGATGAGGAACTGGAAGACTCGCCAGGATCGAGGGAAAGAGGGAAAGATGAGGAACTGGGTGACTCGTCAGGAAAGAGGGAAAGATCAGGAACTGGGAGACTCGTCAGGGTCGAGGGAAAGATGAGGAACTGGGAGACTCTTTAGGATCGAGGGAAAGATGAGGAACTGGGAGACTCGTCAGGATCGAGGGAAAGATGAGGAAGTGGGAGACTCGTCAGGGTCGAGGGAAAGATGTGGAACTGGGAGACTCGTTAGTGTCGAGGGAAAGATGGAGGAACTGGGAGACTCGTCAGGGTCGAGGGAAAGATGAGGAAGTGGGAGACTCGTCAGGGTCGAGGGAAAGATGTGGAACTGGGAGACTCGTTAGTGTCGAGGGAAAGATGAGGAACTGGGAGACTCGTCAGGGTCGAGGGAAAAATGTGGAACTGGGAGACTCGTTAGTGTCGAGGGAAAGATGAAGTGGGAGACTCGTCAGGATCGAGGGAAAGATGAGGAAGTGGGAGACTCGTCAGGGTCGAGGGAAAGATGAGGAACTGGGAGACTCGTCAGGGTCGAGGGAAAAATGTGGAACTGGGAGACTCGTTAGTGTCGAGGGAAAGATGAGGAAGTGGGAGACTCGTCAGGGTCGAGGGAAAGATGAGGAAGTGGGAGACTCGTCAGGATCGAGGGAAAGATGAGGAAGTGGGAGATTAGTCAGGGTCGAGGGAAAGATGAGGAAGTGGGAGACTCGTCAGGTTCGAGGGAAAGATGAGGAAGTGGGAGACTCGTCAGGATCGAGGGAAAGATGAGGAACTGGGAGACTCGTCAGGATCGAGGGAAAGATGAGGAAGTGGGAGACTCGTCAGGGTCGAGGGAAAGATGAGGAAGTGGGAGACTCGTCAGTGTCGAAGGAAAGATGAGGAAGTGGGAGACTCGTCAGGATCGAGGGAAAGATGAGGAAGTGGGAGACTCGTTAGTGTCGAGGGAAAGATGAGGAAGTGGGAGACTCGTCAGGATCGAGGGAAAGATGAACTGGGAGACTCGTCAGGGTCGAGGGAAAGATGAGGAAGTGGGAGACTCGTCAGTGTCGAGGGAAAGATGAGGAAGTGGGAGACTCGTCAGGGTCGAGGGAAAGATGAGGAACTGGGAGACTCGTCAGGATCGAGGGAAAGATGAGGAACTGGGAGACTCGTCAGGATCGAGGGAAAGATGAGGAACTGGGAGACTCGTCAGGGTCGAGGGAAAGATGAGGAAGTGGGAGACTCGTCAGGGTCGAGGGAAAGATGTGGAACTGGGAGACTCGTCAGGATCGAGGGAAAGATGAGGAACTGGGAGACTCGTCAGTGTCGAGGGAAAGATGAGGAAGTGGGAGACTCGTCAGGGTCGAGGGAAAGATGTGGAACTGGGAGACTCGTCAGGATCGAGGGAAAGATGAGGAACTGGGAGACTCGTCAGGATCGAGGGAAAGATGAGGAACTGGGAGACTCGTCAGGGTCGAGGGAAAGATTTGGAACTGGGAGACTCGTCAGTGTCGAGGGAAAGATGAGGAACTGGGAGATTCGTCAGGATCGAGGGAAAGATGAGGAAGTGGGAGACTCGTCAGTGTCGAGGGAAAGATGAGGAACTGGGAGACTCGTCAGGATCGAGGGAAAGATGAGGAACTGGGAGATTCGTCAGGATCGAGGGAAAGATGAGGAAGTGGGAGACTCGTTAGTGTCGAGGGAAAGATGAGGAACTGGGAGACTCGTTAGGGTCGAGGGAAAGATGAGGAACTGGGAGACTCGTCAGGGTCGAGGGAAAGATGAGGAAGTGGGAGACTCGTCAGGGTCAAGGGAAAGATGTGGAACTGGGAGACTCGTTAGTGTCGAGGGAAAGATGAGGAACTGGGAGACTCGTCAGGATCGAGGGAAAGATGAGGAACTGGGAGACTCATCAGGGTCGAGGGAAAGATGAGGAACTGGGAGACTCGTCAGGGTCGAGGGAAAGATGAGGAACTGGGAGACTCGTCAGGATCGAGGGAAAGATGAGGAACTGGGAGACTCGTCAGGGTCGAGGGAAAGATGAGGAACTGGGAGACTCGTCAGGGTCGAGGGAAAGATGAGGAACTGGGAGACTCGTCAGGATCGAGGGAAAGATGAGGAACTTGGAGATTCGTCAGGATCGAGGGAAAGATGAGGAAGTGGGAGACTCGTCAGGGTCGAGGGAAAGATGAGGAACTGGGAGACTCGTCAGGATCGAGGGAAAGATGAGGAACTGGGAGACTCGTCAGGGTCGAGGGAAAGATTTGGAACTGGGAGACTCGTCAGTGTCGAGGGAAAGATGAGGAACTGGGAGACTCGTCAGGGTCGAGGGAAAGATTTGGAACTGGGAGACTCGTCAGTGTCGAGGGAAAGATGAGGAACTGGGAGACTTGTTAGTGTCGAGGGAAAGATGAGGAACTGGGAGATTTGTCAGGGTCGAGGGAAAGATGAGGAAGTGGGAGACTCGTCAGTGTCGAGGGAAAGATGAGAAACTGGGAGACTCGTTAGTGTCGAAGGAAAGATGAGGAACTGGGAGACTCTTTAGGATCGAGGGAAAGATGAGGAACTGGGAGACTCGTCAGGATCGAGGGAAAGATGAGGAAGTGGGAGACTCGTCAGGATCGAGGGAAAGATGTGGAACTGGGAGACTCGTTAGGGTCGAGGGAAAGATGAGGAACTGGGAGACTCGTTAGGGTCGAGGGAAAGATGAGGAACTGGGAGACTCGTCAGGGTCGAGGGAAAGATGAGGAACTGGGAGACTCGTTAGTGTCGAGGGAACGATGAGGAACTGGGAGACTCGTCAGGGTCGAGGGAAAGATGAGGAACTGGGAGACTCGTTAGTGTCGAGGCAACGATGAGGAACTGGGAGACTCGTCAGGGTCGAGGGAAAGATGAGGAACTGGGAGACTCGTCAGGGTCGAGGGAAAGATGAGGAAGTGGGAGACTTTAGGATCGAGGGAATAATGAGGAACTGGGAGACACGTCAAGATCAAGGGAAAGACGAATGTACAGAGACATCCATGATGAAAACCTGTGCTTGAACTCAGACTGGGGCAACGGTTCATCTTCCAACAGGACAACGACCCTCAGCACACACCCAAGATAACAGAGCAGTGGCTACGGGACAGCTCTGTGAATGTCCTTGAGTGGCCCAGCCAGAGCCCAGACTTGAACCCGATTGAACATCTCTGGAGAGATCTGAAAATGGCTGTGCACCGACGCTCCACATCCAACCTGATGGAGCTTGAGAGGTTTTGCAAAGAAGAATGGGAGAAACTGCCCAAAAATAAGTGTGCCAAGCTTGCAGCATCATAGTCAAAGAGACTTGAGACTGTAATTGAGCGTTCGCAATGACCTGCCCCCCTTTAGTTACTGTTGCTATGTCCGACAAGCCACGCCCGTCTCACGCCCCATCATGTCATCACGCAGTGAAACACACATCGCGGAGCAGAGAGGACACTGACAACACGCTGACAGACAGGACAGACCAGCTTACTTTTGATATGAAACAAAGTCTCAACTTTCAAATTTGGTAATTTTTTTAAGAAATTTAAACAATAAAAAATAACGTTTTGTGGCTCTTTAATGTGTCTGACAGATCGCTAGACCCTCAGTTAAAGCTGCTCGTGAACCGATCATCTCGTCCTTCTAGTTCAATTATAGCATCAAATAAACATAAATAAACATGAATGAACATCAGAAGGAATGTTGTTTTAACCGCAGAAAGACCTCAGTACACTCCGTTTTTCAAGTTCAAATCCTCTAACGTTAATCTACGAACTCTCCTGACTGCTTTGTCGGACAAAAATGGCGGATTCGGCGGATGGTGGATTATGATCGGTCAGATCTCCTGTCAATCAATCCCTGCTTCAACAAAGTATTGAGCAAAGGCTGTGAATACTTATGTACATAAGTACATTTTTCGTTTCTTATTTTTAATAAATATGCAAAGATTTCAAACAAACTTCTTTCACGCTGTCATTATGGATTATTGTTTGTAGAATTTTGAGGAAAATAATGAATTTAATCCATTTTGGAATAAGGCTGTAACCTGGAAAAAGTGAAGCGCTGTGAATACTTTCCCGGATGCACTGTAATTACAATTACATACACACACACACACACACAGCTTTCTCAGTATTTGAAGCGTGTGAAGGGGGATGAGGCAGCAGGACTCTCTTCTCCTCTGGTGTTTCTGTCCTCAGTCTCTAGATGATCTAGATCACACACACACACACACACACATACTCGCACACACTCACTCGAGCTGTTTCTCTCCTCAGGCTCTAGATGGCACTGTGGACTCGAGCTCTCTGTTCTCCTGTCAGCTGGAGGCCCATCACACACACACACACACACTGACCCAGAGACGCCTGGAGGATCTGAAGCGCTCGCGAGACCGACTGCAGGACGAGCTGCGGGACGCAGATGAGCACAGAGAGACCACACACACACACAACCAGGTGAGCACACACACACACAGCAAGGTGAGCGCACAAACACACACAACCAGGTGAGCACACACACGCACACAGACAGACAGACACACACACACACACGCACACACACACACACACACACAGCAAGGTGAGCACATGCACAGACACACACACACTCACACTCACACTCACAAACACACACAACCAGGTGTGTCATTTACCAGCTAAGTCTCACGGTACCGGCCGCTCAGAGACGTGTGACGCTGCTCAGAAACAGGAAGTCTTTTTCATCTGTGTATCCGCTCCTGTAGGGGTTAGGGCAGGGATAGGCAACGTCGATCCTGGAGTGTCACTGTCCTGCAGAGTTTAACTCCAACCCTAATCAAACACACCTGAGCAAGCTAATCAATGTCTTCAGGATTACTAATGCTAAAGGCAGGTGAGTTTATATCAGGGTTGGAGCTAAACTCTGCAGGACAGCGGCACTCTAGGACCGACGTTGCCTATCCCTGGGTTAGGGTAACACCCACACACACACTCTTGTTTACTGATTGGCTAGAGAAATTGAGATGATAGTTCCAGGACTGAGGGCCGTCGACTCCAGTCATGTAGAAGATCACCTGCTTTATTGTGTACAGATGTTTGAGGCATCATGTAAACGCTGTCAGTGTGTGTGTGTTTCTGTGCAGGATCTGTGTGAGACGCTGGAGCAGCTGCGGTCTGAGCTGCGGGTGAAAGTGTGTGAGCTGAGAGACCGTGAGGCCGAAACACACTCCGACATCAGCGACAGAGACGAGACCATCGCACAGCTACAGAAGAGCTTACGCCGCAAACACACACTGCTGCAGGTCACACACACACACACTGCTGCAGGTCACACACACCCACTGCTGCAGGTCACACACACACACTCACACACTGCTGCAGGTCACACACACACACACACACACTCACACACTGCTGCAGGTCACACACACTCACTGCTGCACACTTACTGTGTTTGTTTCAGGAGTATTCAGAGCTGCTGAACTCCAGCGGAGCCTCAGAGAGAGACACACTTCTGCACGCGCTCAGGAGTCGCATCCGAGACCGAGACGCCGCTCTGGAGGTGTGTGTGTGTAGCGGTCGTAGATCTCATGTGTAGCTCCGCCCACAGCCTGATCTTATTGCGCCAAAATCTGAATTAAAGTGCATCTATCCATTATAAAAGTGCATCTATCCATCATTAAAGTGCATCTATCCATTATAAAAGTGCATCTATCCATCATTAAAGTGCATCTATCCATCATAAAAGTGAATCTATCATCATAAAAGTGCATCTATCCATGATAAAAGTGCATCTATCCATCATAAAAGTGTATCTGTCCATCATAAAAGTGCATCTATCCATGCTAAAAGTGCATCTATCATTAAAGTGCATCTATCCATCATAAAAGTGCATCTATCCATGATACAAGTGCATCTATCCATGATAAAAGTGCATCTATCCATCATAAAAGTGCATCTGTCCATCATAAAAGTGCATCTGTCCATGATAAAAGTGCATCTATCCATCATAAAAGTGCATCTATCCATGATACAAGTGCATCTATCCATGATAAAAGTGCATCTATCCATGATAAAAGTGCATCTATCCATGATAAAAGTGCATCTATCCATGATAAAAGTGCATCTATCCATGATACAAGTGCATCTATCCATGATACAAGTGCATCTATCCATGATACAAGTGCATCTATCCATGATACAAGTGCATCTATCCATGATACAAGTGCATCTATCCATCATAAAAGTGCATCTATCCATGATACAAGTGCATCTATCCATCATAAAAGTGCATCTATCCATGATACAAGTGCATCTATCCAACTCTGATGTTCTGCAGACGTAGCTGTAACAGTCGTGTGTGTGTTTCAGCGCTCGATCGATGAGAAGTTCCTCTGTCTGGAGGAGAAGGACGCTGAAGTGCATCGACTGCAGCTGATGCTGCGCGAGAAAGACCGAGACCTGGAGAGACTGCGCTGCGTCCTCAACAACACCAACGACACCGTCACGGTGTGTGTCTTCATCTGCCGTCACACGCACACTGCTGAGCTGTGATGAACTCTCTGAATGTGTGTGTGTGTGCAGGGTCTGGATGCTCTGGTGCACAGTAAGGAGCTGGAATTAGAGAGAACACTGGAAACGTGCCGAAAGCTGGAGTGGATGAAACAGCAGAGCGATGAGAACCACACACTCGCTGTTCGAGAGAGAGACGGCGTCATCCAGCGGCTGCAAACTGCTCTACACACACACAGCAAAGAGACTGAGGTAAACGCACTCGCTAAGCTTGAGTCAGATACAAACACATGATTAACGCAGTACATTTACACACAACACATCATTACCGCTGTACATTTACACACAGCACATCATTACCGTGGTACATTTACACACAACACATCATTACCGTGGTACATTTACACACAACACATCATTACCGCTGTACATTTACACACAACACATCATTACCGCGGTACATTTACACACAGCACATCATTACCGCTGTACATTTACACACAGCACATCATTACCGCTGTACATTTACACACAACACATCATTACCGTGGTACATTTACACACAACACATCATTACCGTGGTACATTTACACACAACACATCATTACCGCTGTACATTTACACACAACACATCATTATCGCGGTACATTTACACACAACACATCATAACCGTGGTACATTTACACACAACACATCATTACCGTGGTACATTTACACACCTCACATCATTACCGCGGTACATTTACACACAACACATCATTACCGCTGTACATTTACACACAACACATCATTACCGCTGTACATTTACACACAGCACATCATTACCGTGGTACATTCACACACAACACATCATTAGCATGGTACATTTACACACAACACATCATTACCGTGGTACATTTAAACACAACACATCATTACCGCGGTACATTTACACACAACACATCATTACCGCTGTACATTTACACACAACACATCATTACCGCTGTACATTTACACACAGCACATCATTACTGCTGTACATTTACACACAGCACATCATTACTGCTGTACATTTACACACAGCACATCATTACCGTGGTACATTTACACACAACACATCATTACCGTGGTACATTTACACACAACACATCATTACCGTGGTACATTTACACACAACACATCATTACCGCGGTACATTTACACACAACACATCATTACCGCTGTACATTTACACACAGCACATCATTACCGCGGTACATTTACACACAGCACATCATTACCGCTGTACATTTACACACAGCACATCATTACCGTGGTACATTTACACACAGCACATCATTACCGCTGTACATTTACACACAGCACATCATTACCGCTGTACATTTACACACAGCACATCATTATCGTGGTACATTTACACACAACACATCATTACCGCTGTACATTTACACACAGCACATCATTACCGCTGTACATTTACACACAGCACATCATTACCGTGGTACATTTACACACCTCACATCATTACCGCGGTACATTTACACACAACACATCATTACCGCTGTACATTTACACACAACACATCATTACCGCTGTACATTTACACACAGCACATCATTACCGTGGTACATTTACACACAGCACATCATTACCGCTGTACATTTACACACAGCACATCATTACCGTGGTACATTTACACACCTCACACAGGGCCGGTTCTAGACATTTGGAGGCCCTAGGCAATATTCCTGTTGGAGGCCCCCCACCCCCAATAAAAAACTCTTGAAACATATATGATTCCTAACCTTTTAATTTATACAACGTTTAATTTTAAATGTTTTTACTTACACAGTACATAAGTTTGGACACATTACTATTTTTAATGTTTTTGAAAGAAGTCTCTTATGCTCATCAAGCCTGGATTTATTTGATCAAAAATACAGAAAAATAATATATATTGAAATATTATTAAAATTTAAAATAATGGTTTTCCTATACTATACTTTAAAATATATTTCTGTGATGCAAAGCTGAATTTAGTGTCATGTGATCCTTCAGAAAACTTTATAATATTCTGATTTATTATCAAATGTTAGAAATGGTGCTTAATATTTATTTTATAACCTGTGATACTTTTTTCAGGATTTTTTTTTATTATTAAAAAGTTGTTTTAAAAAAGTCTTCACTATCACTTTTTATATATTTAACACTTCCTTGCTGAATATTCCTGTTTTTTTTTTTTTTTTTTTTTTTTTTGATCAAATAAATGCAGGCTTGTAGAGCATAATAAAAAAACTTCTTTCAAAAACATTAAAAATAGTAATTGGTCCAGACTTTTTACCAGTAGGCTACTGCATGTACATATTATCAAACTTCATCTAAGGTAATCTCTTTTTTGTTTAATGAAGATGTTATTGTTATTGTTATTTTGCTGTTTTATTCAATTTATTCACATTTCCAGAATACCACTTCAGTGATATATGCTTTTATAATTTTTTTGATAGCTGCGGTATGGGCAGGATTTCCCCTCCCATTTAATCAATATTGACTGCAGATAATGTCATATTATTAATATAAGTAATATGATATTGCTAGCTTAAATATACTATACACAAATCAAGTGGAAGAGAAAGACACGATCGCTACTGATTAGGAAAAAAAAATTCTAAACTGATATTATTGGCGTAAGTAGGCTGATGTCAGACAGGGTATAATCTAATCATCAGCAGAATTTAGAAGATAGACCCATGAGATCCTTTATTTGAAACATTTAAAATGTTGTAGTGTGTTGGCTTTTTAACTTTGAATACAAACGTCCTGTCTTTTACTTTTGTAGTGTTTTTAGTCAGCTCCCGACACGATGTTATTCATTGTATGCGCAAATTCAAAGCGTCGCGTCTGGGCACGTTAATGACGCTCGCGCTCTTTTAAACTCGTAATAAAGCGGTGTATGATTTTGTCCAGAAATGACGCTGATCTACAGTACAAGTTTATATTTAGAATACATTGCAATCACTCCAAAATAGATGACGACAACGCACACACCTGCATTAGAGTGCTTCTTTGCGTGCCTATTTAGACTTTTGCTTCGCAGCACCTGATGGGCTGGCGTTAATGTGACGTAATGTAACAGTCTATGGTTAAGATAAACATCGTCACTATTTTTTAGTTAATTAATAAATATTGAAATAAATTGTAGATAGGATATTTGTATTTTTTTTATTTTTTTTATTTTTGTCCTTCTGTCTGGGCCCCATCCCACCAATCGGGCCCTAGGCACGTGCCTAGTTTGCCTTTGCGTTAATCCGGCTCTGACCTCACATCATTACCGCGGTACATTTACACACAACACATCATTACCGCTGTACATTTACACACAACACATCATTACCGCGGTACATTTACACACAACATCATTACCGTGGTACATTAACACACAACACATCATTACCGCGGTACATTTACACACAGCACATCATTACCGCTGTACATTTACACACAGCACATCATTACCGTGGTAAATTTACACACAGCACATCATTACCGCTGTACATTTACACACAGCACATCATTACCGTGGTACATTTACACACCTCACATCATTATAGTTGTACATTTACACACAACACATCATTACCGCGGTACATTTACACACCTTACATCATTACCGCTGTACATTTACACACCTCACATCATTACCGCGGTACATTTACACACAGCACATCATTACCGTGGTACATTTACACACCTCACATCATTACCGCGGTACATTTACACACCTCACATCATTACCGCTGTACATTTACACACCTCACATCATTACCGCGGTACATTTACACACAGCACATCATTACCGTGGTACATTTACACACCTCACATCATTACTGCGGTACATTTACACACAGCACATCATTACCGTGGTACATTTACACACCTCACATCATTACCGCGGTACATTTACACACAGCACATCATTACCGCTGTACATTTACACACAACACATCATTACCGTGGTACATTTACACACCTCACATCATTACAGTTGTACATTTACACACAACACATCATTACCGTGGTACATTTACACACAACACATCATTACCGCGGTACATTTACACACAACACATCATTACCGCGGTACATTTACACACAGCACATCATTACCGCGGTACATTTACACACAGCACATTATTACCGCTGTACATTTACACACCTCACATCATTACCACGGTACATTTACACACAACACATCATTACCGCTGTACATTTACACACCTCACATCATTACCGCGGTACATTTACACACAGCACATCATTACGGCGGTACATTTACACACAACACATCATTACCGCTGTACATTTACACACAACACATCATTACCGCTGTACATTTACACACCTCACATCATTACCGTGGTACATTTACACACAACACATCATTACCGCTGTACATTTACACACAACACATCATTACCACTGTACATTTACACACCTCACATCATTACCGTGGTACATTTACACACAGCACATTATTACCGCTGTACATTTACACACCTCACATCATTACCACGGTACATTTACACACAACACATCATTACCGCTGTACATTTACACACCTCACATCATTACCGTGGTACATTTACACACAACACATCATTACCGCGGTACATTTACACAACACATCATTACCGCTGTACATTTACACACATCACATCATTACCGCTGTACATTTACACACAGCACATCATTACCGTGGTACATTTACACACAGCACATCATTACCGCTGTACATTTACACACAACACATCATTACCGCGGTACATTTACACACAACACATCATAACCGTGGTACATTTACACACAACACATCATTACCGTGGTACATTTACACACAACACATCATTACCGCTGTACATTTACACACAGCACATCATTACCGCTGTACATTTACACACAGCACATCATTACTGTGGTACATTTACACACAGCACATCATTACCGCTGTACATTTACACAGAGCCCATCATTACCATGGTACATTTACACACCTCACATCATTACCGCGGTACATTTACACACAACACATCATTACCGCTGTACATTTACACACAGCACATCATTACCGCTGTACATTTACACACAGCACATCATTACCGTGGTACATTTACACACAGCACATCATTACCGCTGTACATTTACACACAGCACATCATTACCGTGGTACATTTACACACCTCACATCATTACCGCGGTACATTTACACACAACACATCATTACCGCTGTACATTTACACACAACACATCATTACCGCTGTACATTTACACACAGCACATCATTACCATGGTACATTTACACACAGCACATCATTACCGCTGTACATTTACACACAGCACATCATTACCGTGGTACATTTACACACAACACATCATTAGCATGGTACATTTACACACAACACATCATTACCGTGGTACATTTACACACAACACATCATTACCGCTGTACATTTACACACAACACATCATTACCGCGGTACATTTACACACAACACATCATAACCGTGGTACATTTACACACGACACATCATTACCGTGGTACATTTACACACAACACATCATTACCGCTGTACATTTACACACAGCACATCATTACTGTGGTACATTTACACACAGCACATCATTACCGCTGTACATTTACACACAGCACATCATTACAGCGGTACATTTACACACAGCACATCATTACCGCTGTACATTTACACACAGCACATCATTACCGCGGTACATTTACACACAGCACATCATTACCGCTGTACATTTACACACAGCACATCATTACCGTGGTACATTTACACACAGCACATCATTACCGCTGTACATTTACACACAGCACATCATTACCGCTGTACATTTACACACAGCACATCATTACCGTGGTACATTTACACACAGCACATCATTACCGCTGTACATTTACACACAGCACATCATTACCGTGGTACATTTACACACCTCACATCATTACCGCGGTACATTTACACACAACACATCATTACCGCTGTACATTTGCACACAACACATCATTACCGCTGTACATTTACACACAGCACATCATTACCGTGGTACATTTACACACAGCACATCATTACCGCTGTACATTTACACACAGCACATCATTACCGTGATACATTTACACACCTCACATCATTACCGCGGTACATTTACACACAACACATCATTACCGCTGTACATTTACACACAACACATCATTACCGCGGTACATTTACACACAACACATCATTACCGTGGTACATTTAAACACAACACATCATTACCGCGGTACATTTACACACAGCACATCATTACCGCTGTACATTTACACACAGCACATCATTACCGTGGTACATTTACACACAACACATCATTACCGCTGTACATTTACACACCTCACATCATTACGGCGGTACATTTACACACAGCACATCATTACCGTGGTACATTTACACACCTCACATCATTACCACGGTACATTTACACACAGCACATCATTACCGTGGTACATTTACACACAGCACATCATTACCGCTGTACATTTACACACAGCACATCATTACCGCTGTACATTTACACACAGCACATCATTACCGTGGTACATTTACCCACAGCACATCATTACCGCTGTACATTTACACACAGCACATCATTACCGTGGTACATTTACACACCTCACATCATTACCGCGGTACATTTACACACAACACATCATTACCGCTGTACATTTACACACAACACATCATTACCGCTGTACATTTACACACAGCACATCATTACCGTGGTACATTTACACACAGCACATCATTACCGCTGTACATTTACACACAGCACATCATTACCGTGGTACATTTACACACCTCACATCATTACCGCGGTACATTTTCACACAACACATCATTACCGCTGTACATTTACACACAATACATCATTACCGCGGTACATTTACACACAACACATCATTACCGTGGTACATTTAAACACAACACATCATTACCGCGGTACATTTACACACAGCACATCATTACCGCTGTACATTTACACACAGCACATCATTACCGTGGTACATTTACACACAACACATCATTACCGCTGTACATTTACACACCTCACATCATTACCGCGGTACATTTACACACAGCACATCATTACCGTGGTACATTTACACACCTCACATCATTACCACGGTACATTTACACACCTCACATCATTACCGCTGTACATTTACACACCTCACATCATTACCGCGGTACATTTACACACAGCACATCATTTCCGTGGTACATTTACACACCTCACATAATTACTGCGGTACATTTACACACAGCACATCATTACCGTGGTACATTTACACACCTCACATCATTACCGCGGTACATTTACACACAACACATCATTACCGCTGTACATTTACACACAGCACATCATTACCGTGGTACATTTACACACCTCACATAATTACTGCGGTACATTTACACACAGCACATCATTACCGTGGTACATTTACACACCTCACATCATTACCGCGGTACATTTACACACAACACATCATTACCGCTGTACATTTACACACAGCACATCATTACCGTGGTACATTTACACACCTCACATCATTACAGTTGTACATTTACACACAACACATCATTACCGCGGTACATTTACACACAACACATCATTACTGCGGTACATTTACACACAACACATCATTAACGCGGTACATTTACACACAGCACATCATTACCGTGGTACATTTACACACCTCAAATCATTACTGCGGTACATTTACACACAACACATCATTACTGCGGTACATTTACACACAACACATCATTACCGCTGTACATTTACACACAGCACATCATTACCGTGGTACATTTACACACCTCACATCATTACTGCGGTACATTTACACACAACACATCATTACCACGGTACATTTACACACAACACATCATTACCGCTGTACATTTACACACCTCACATCATTACCGCGGTACATTTACACACAGCACATCATTACCGCTGTACATTTACACACAACACATCATTACCGCTGTACATTTACACACAACACATCATTACCGCTGTACATTTACACACCTCACATCATTACCGTGGTACATTTACACACAACACATCATTACCGCGGTACATTTACACACAACACATCATTACCCCTGTACATTTACACACATCACATCATTACCGCTGTATATTTACACACAGCACATCATTACCGTGGTACATTTACACACAACACATCATTACCGCTGTACATTTACACACCTCACATCATTACCGCGGTACATTTACACACAGCACATCATTACCGTGGTACATTTACACACCTCACATCATTACCACGGTACATTTACACACAGCACATCATTACCGTGGTACATTTACACACAGCACATCATTACCGCTGTACATTTACACACAGCACATCATTACCGCTGTACATTTACACACAGCACATCATTACCGTGGTACATTTACACACAGCACATCATTACCGCTGTACATTTACACACAGCACATCATTACCGTGGTACATTTACACACCTCACATCATTACCGCGGTACATTTACACACAACACATCATTACCGCTGTACATTTACACACAACACATCATTACCGCTGTACATTTACACACAGCACATCATTACCATGGTACATTTACACACAGCACATCATTACCGCTGTACATTTACACACAGCACATCATTACCGTGGTACATTTACACACCTCACATCATTACCGCGGTACATTTACACACAACACATCATTACCGCTGTACATTTACACACAACACATCATTACCGCGGTACATTTACACACCTCACATCATTACCGCGGTACATTTACACACAGCACATCATTACCGTGGTACATTTACACACCTCACATCATTACCACGGTACATTTACACACAGCACATCATTACCGTGGTACATTTACACACAGCACATCATTACCGCTGTACATTTACACACAGCACATCATTACCGCTGTACATTTACACACAGCACATCATTACCGTGGTACATTTACACACAGCACATCATTACCGCTGTACATTTACACACAGCACATCATTACCGTGGTACATTTACACACCTCACATCATTACCGCGGTACATTTACACACAACACATCATTACCGCTGTACATTTACACACAACACATCATTACCGCTGTACATTTACACACAGCACATCATTACCATGGTACATTTACACACAGCACATCATTACCGCTGTACATTTACACACAGCACATCATTACCGTGGTACATTTACACACCTCACATCATTACCGCGGTACATTTACACACAACACATCATTACCGCTGTACATTTACACACAACACATCATTACCGCGGTACATTTACACACCTCACATCATTACCGCGGTACATTTACACACAGCACATCATTACCGCTGTACATTTACACACAACACATCATTACCGCTGTACATTTACACACAACACATCATTACCGCTGTACATTTACACACCTCACATCATTACCGTGGTACATTTACACACAACACATCATTACCGCGGTACATTTACACACAACACATCATTACCCCTGTACATTTACACACATCACATCATTACCGCTGTATATTTACACACAGCACATCATTACCGTGGTACATTTACACACAACACATCATTACCGTGGTACATTTACACACCTCACATCATTACCGCGGTACATTTATACACCTCACATCATTACCACAGTACATTTACACACAACACATCATTACCGTGGTACATTTACACACCTCACATCATTACCGCGGTACATTTACACACCTCACATCATTACCGTGGTACATTTACACACCTCACATCATTACCGCGGTACATTTATACACCTCACATCATTACCGCGGTACATTTACACACAGCACATCATTAAGCTTGCGGCAGCTGAGTCAGTCTGTGTGTTACAGGAGCTCCGGTCAGTGTTGTTGGGAAAGCTGTCGGCCACTGATGTCTTGCAGGAACTCCAGGCTCGTCTCTCTACGAGAGAGCGTCTGTTTCAGGAAGTGATGTCAGAGCGCAGTCTCCAGCTGCAGGAACACCACACACACCTGACGGAGCTGCTCAACACCATCAGCTCCAGAGATCAGGAAAAGAAGGTGCCGATGATCAGCAGTTATCATGTTCTTTCCTGTGTGCTGGTTTCTTCATGTTTCCCGTGTTCCCTCAGGATTTCCTCATGTTCTGTCCTGTGTGCTGGTCTCCTCATGTCTCCCGTGTTCCCTCAGGATTTCCTCATGTTCTGTCCTGTGTGCTGGTCTTCTCATGTTTCCCGTGTTCCCTCAGGATTTCCTCATGTTCTGTCCTGTGTGCTGGTCTTCTCATGTTTCCCGTGTTCCCTCAGGATTTCCTCATGTTCTGTCCTGTGTGCTGGTCTTCTCATGTTTCCCGTGTTCCCTCAGGATTTCCTCATGTTCTGTCCTGTGTGCTGGTCTTCTCATGTTTCCCGTGTTCCCTCAGGATTTCCTCATGTTCTGTCCTGTGTGCTGGTCTTCTCATGTTTCCCGTGTTCCCTCAGGATTTCCTCATGTTCTGTCCTGTGTGCTGGTCTTTTCATGTCATTGTTCCCTCAGGATTTCCTCATGTTCTGTCCTGTGTGCTGGTCTTTTCATGCCTCCCGTGTTCCCTCAGGATTTCCTCATGTTCTGTCCTGTGTGCTGGTCTTCTCATGTTTCCCGTGTTCCCTCAGGATTTCCTCATGTTCTGTCCTGTGTGCTGGTCTTCTCATGTTTCCCGTGTTCCCTCAGGATTTCCTCATGTTCTGTCCTGTGTGCTGGTCTTCTCATGTTTCCCGTGTTCCCTCAGGATTTCCTCATGTTCTGTCCTGTGTGCTGGTCTTCTCATGTTTCCCGTGTTCCCTCAGGATTTCCTCATGTTCTGTCCTGTGTGCTGGTCTTCTCATGTTTCCCGTGTTCCCTCAGGATTTCCTCATGTTCTGTCCTGTGTGCTGGTCTTCTCATGTTTCCCATGTTCCTTCAGGATTTCCTCATGTTCTGTCCTGTGTGCTGGTCTCCTCATGTCTCCCGTGTTCCCTCAGGATTTCCTCATGTTCTGTCCTGTGTGCTGGTCTCCTCATGTCTCCCGTGTTCCCTCAGGATTTCCTCATGTTCTGTCCTGTGTGCTGGTCTCCTCATGTCTCCCGTGTTCCCTCAGGATTTCCTCATGTTCTGTCCTGTGTGCTGGTCTTCTCATGTCTCCCGTGTTCCCTCAGGATTTCCTCATGTTCTGTCCTGTGTGCTGGTCTTCTCATGTCTCCCGTGTTCCCTCAGGATTTCCTCATGTTCTGTCCTGTGTGCTGGTCTTCTCATGTTTCCCATGTTCCCTCAGGATTTCCTCATGTTCTGTCCTGTGTGCTGGTCTTCTCATGTCTCCCGTGTTCCCTCAGGATTTCCTCATGTTCTGTCCTGTGTGCTGGTCTTCTCATGTTTCCCGTGTTCCCTCAGGATTTCCTCATGTTCTGTCCTGTGTGCTGGTCTTCTCATGTTTCCCGTGTTCCCTCAGGATTTCCTCATGTTCTGTCCTGTGTGCTGGTCTTCTCATGTTTCCCGTGTTCCCTCAGGATTTCCTCATGTTCTGTCCTGTGTGCTGGTCTTCTCATGTTTCCCGTGTTCCCTCAGGATTTCCTCATGTTCTGTCCTGTGTGCTGGTCTTCTCATGTTTCCCGTGTTCCCTCAGGATTTCCTCATGTTCTGTCCTGTGTGCTGGTCTTCTCATGTTTCCCATGTTCCCTCAGGATTTCCTCATGTTCTGTCCTGTGTGCTGGTATCCTCATGTCTCCCGTGTTCCCTCAGGATTTCCTCATGTTCTGTCCTGTGTGCTGGTCTTCTCATGTTTCCCATGTTCCCTCAGGATTTCCTCATGTTCTGTCCTGTGTGCTGGTCTCCTCATGTCTCCCGTGTTCCCTCAGGATTTCCTCATGTTCTGTCCTGTGTGCTGGTCTCCTCATGTCTCCCGTGTTCCCTCAGGATTTCCTCATGTTCTGTCCTGTGTGCTGGTCTTCTCATGTCTCCCGTGTTCCCTCAGGATTTCCTCATGTTCTGTCCTGTGTGCTGGTCTTCTCATGTTTCCCGTGTTCCCTCAGGATTTCCTCATGTTCTGTCCTGTGTGCTGGTCTTCTCATGTCTCCCGTGTTCCCTCAGGATTTCCTCATGTTCTGTCCTGTGTGCTGGTCTTCTCATGTTTCCCGTGTTCCCTCAGGATTTCCTCATGTTCTGTCCTGTGTGCTGGTCTTCTCATGTTTCCCGTGTTCCCTCAGGATTTCCTCATGTTCTGTCCTGTGTGCTGGTCTTCTCATGTTTCCCGTGTTCCCTCAGGATTTCCTCATGTTCTGTCCTGTGTGCTGGTCTTCTCATGTTTCCCGTGTTCCCTCAGGATTTCCTCATGTTCTGTCCTGTGTGCTGGTCTTCTCATGTTTCCCGTGTTCCCTCAGGATTTCCTCATGTTCTGTCCTGTGTGCTGGTCTTCTCATGTTTCCCATGTTCCTTCAGGATTTCCTCATGTTCTGTCCTGTGTGCTGGTCTCCTCATGTCTCCCGTGTTCCCTCAGGATTTCCTCATGTTCTGTCCTGTGTGCTGGTCTCCTCATGTCTCCCGTGTTCCCTCAGGATTTCCTCATGTTCTGTCCTGTGTGCTGGTCTCCTCATGTCTCCCGTGTTCCCTCAGGATTTCCTCATGTTCTGTCCTGTGTGCTGGTCTTCTCATGTCTCCCGTGTTCCCTCAGGATTTCCTCATGTTCTGTCCTGTGTGCTGGTCTTCTCATGTCTCCCGTGTTCCCTCAGGATTTCCTCATGTTCTGTCCTGTGTGCTGGTCTTCTCATGTTTCCCATGTTCCCTCAGGATTTCCTCATGTTCTGTCCTGTGTGCTGGTCTCCTCATGTCTCCCGTGTTCCCTCAGGATTTCCTCATGTTCTGTCCTGTGTGCTGGTCTTCTCATGTTTCCCGTGTTCCCTCAGGATTTCCTCATGTTCTGTCCTGTGTGCTGGTCTTCTCATGTTTCCCGTGTTCCCTCAGGATTTCCTCATGTTCTGTCCTGTGTGCTGGTCTTCTCATGTTTCCCATGTTCCCTCAGGATTTCCTCATGTTCTGTCCTGTGTGCTGGTATCCTCATGTCTCCCGTGTTCCCTCAGGATTTCCTCATGTTCTGTCCTGTGTGCTGGTCTTCTCATGTTTCCCATGTTCCCTCAGGATTTCCTCATGTTCTGTCCTGTGTGCTGGTCTCCTCATGTCTCCCGTGTTCCCTCAGGATTTCCTCATGTTCTGTCCTGTGTGCTGGTCTCCTCATGTCTCCCGTGTTCCCTCAGGATTTCCTCATGTTCTGTCCTGTGTGCTGGTCTTCTCATGTCTCCCGTGTTCCCTCAGGATTTCCTCATGTTCTGTCCTGTGTGCTGGTCTCCTCATGTCTCCCGTGTTCCCTCAGGATTTCCTCATGTTCTGTCCTGTGTGCTGGTCTCCTCATGTCTCCCGTGTTCCCTCAGGATTTCCTCATGTTCTGTCCTGTGTGCTGGTCTCCTCATGTCTCCCGTGTTCCCTCAGGATTTCCTCATGTTCTGTCCTGTGTGCTGGTCTTCTCATGTCTCCCTTGTTCCCTCAGGATTTCCTCATGTTCTGTCCTGTGTGCTGGTCTTCTCATGTTTCCCGTGTTCCCTCAGGATTTCCTCATGTTCTGTCCTGTGTGCTGGTCTTCTCATGTTTCCCGTGTTCCCTCAGGATTTCCTCATGTTCTGTCCTGTGTGCTGGTCTTCTCATGTTTCCCGTGTTCCCTCAGGATTTCCTCATGTTCTGTCCTGTGTGCTGGTCTTCTCATGTTTCCCGTGTTCCCTCAGGATTTCCTCATGTTCTGTCCTGTGTGCTGGTCTTCTCATGTTTCCCGTGTTCCCTCAGGATTTCCTCATGTTCTGTCCTGTGTGCTGGTCTTCTCATGTTTCCCGTGTTCCCTCAGGATTTCCTCATGTTCTGTCCTGTGTGCTGGTCTTCTCATGTTTCCCATGTTCCTTCAGGATTTCCTCATGTTCTGTCCTGTGTGCTGGTCTCCTCATGTCTCCCGTGTTCCCTCAGGATTTCCTCATGTTCTGTCCTGTGTGCTGGTCTCCTCATGTCTCCCGTGTTCCCTCAGGATTTCCTCATGTTCTGTCCTGTGTGCTGGTCTCCTCATGTCTCCCGTGTTCCCTCAGGATTTCCTCATGTTCTGTCCTGTGTGCTGGTCTTCTCATGTCTCCCGTGTTCCCTCAGGATTTCCTCATGTTCTGTCCTGTGTGCTGGTCTTCTCATGTCTCCCGTGTTCCCTCAGGATTTCCTCATGTTCTGTCCTGTGTGCTGGTCTTCTCATGTTTCCCATGTTCCCTCAGGATTTCCTCATGTTCTGTCCTGTGTGCTGGTCTCCTCATGTCTCCCGTGTTCCCTCAGGATTTCCTCATGTTCTGTCCTGTGTGCTGGTCTTCTCATGTTTCCCGTGTTCCCTCAGGATTTCCTCATGTTCTGTCCTGTGTGCTGGTCTTCTCATGTTTCCCGTGTTCCCTCAGGATTTCCTCATGTTCTGTCCTGTGTGCTGGTCTTCTCATGTTTCCCATGTTCCCTCAGGATTTCCTCATGTTCTGTCCTGTGTGCTGGTATCCTCATGTCTCCCGTGTTCCCTCAGGATTTCCTCATGTTCTGTCCTGTGTGCTGGTCTTCTCATGTTTCCCATGTTCCCTCAGGATTTCCTCATGTTCTGTCCTGTGTGCTGGTCTCCTCATGTCTCCCGTGTTCCCTCAGGATTTCCTCATGTTCTGTCCTGTGTGCTGGTCTCCTCATGTCTCCCGTGTTCCCTCAGGATTTCCTCATGTTCTGTCCTGTGTGCTGGTCTTCTCATGTCTCCCGTGTTCCCTCAGGATTTCCTCATGTTCTGTCCTGTGTGCTGGTCTCCTCATGTCTCCCGTATTCCCTCAGGATTTCCTCATGTTCTGTCCTGTGTGCTGGTCTCCTCATGTCTCCCGTGTTCCCTCAGGATTTCCTCATGTTCTGTCCTGTGTGCTGGTCTCCTCATGTCTCCCGTGTTCCCTCAGGATTTCCTCATGTTCTGTCCTGTGTGCTGGTCTTCTCATGTCTCCCTTGTTCCCTCAGGATTTCCTCATGTTCTGTCCTGTGTGCTGGTCTTCTCATGTTTCCCGTGTTCCCTCAGGATTTCCTCATGTTCTGTCCTGTGTGCTGGTCTTCTCATGCTTCCCGTGTTCCCTCAGGATTTCCTCATGTTCTGTCCTGTGTGCTGGTCTCCTCATGTCTCCCGTGTTCCCTCAGGATTTCCTCATGTTCTGTCCTGTGTGCTGGTCTCCTCATGTTTCCCATGTTCCCTCAGGATTTCCTCATGTTCTGTCCTGTGTGCTGGTCTCCTCATGTCTCCCGTGTTCCCTCAGGATTTCCTCATGTTCTGTCCTGTGTGCTGGTCTTCTCATGTTTCCCATGTTCCCTCAGGATTTCCTCATGTTCTGTCCTGTGTGCTGGTCTCCTCATGTCTCCCGTGTTCCCTCAGGATTTCCTCATGTTCTGTCCTGTGTGCTGGTCTCCTCATGTCTCCCGTGTTCCCTCAGGATTTCCTCATGTTCTGTCCTGTGTGCTGGTCTCCTCATGTCTCCCGTGTTCCCTCAGGATTACGGGGAGAGGTTGGGACGGGTGATATCCGAGCGATCCGCTCAGTTGCAGGAGTTGCGGCGGCAGCTGTCGTCTCGGGAACAGGAGCTGCACGATGTGAACCGGGAGAGAGAGAGGGACGTTTCTGCGGCCCGAGAACTGAAGAGACTCCAGAACGTCCTCAAGGAGAAAGACTCACTTATACAGGTCAGAGAAAACACATTTACACAAGCTGCTCTTTACTGTGTTCATCACTGTAATGATTATTTGAGTCATTATTTGTTCAAGTCATGAGCATTTTGGGCTAAATTTGTTTTGGTGGTTTTTAAACGTAATGTCCTAAAACAGACTTAATTTTCTTTACAATTAATTTATCGAGCTTCATCAGATTTACACACTTCTGCTGTTATAGTGTTTTTATTCCTTTCTACAGTTATTATTTTCTAATAAATGGATTAATGGATAAACTGCAGTAATTATGTGTTGTGTGTAAATGTACCATGCTAATGATGTGTTGTGTGTAAATTAGGGGTGGAACGGTACACAGAAGTCACGGTTCGGTTCATACCTCGGTTCAGACATCACGGTTCGGTACGATTTCGGTACAATGGAGGGAAAAGCAAAACAAAAATGCAGAAGGCATTGTATTTTTTAAATAAGTTTTATTAATAAAGGCATAGAACCAGTTTATTTGTAGTGCACTGACAATAGTTTTATATAATTCGTTTATTAATTAAATTAATAAAAAGACAAAAAGACCTTGCGATATGTTTGGTAATTGTACCTGAATTAATTTAAAATTAATTTGCTATATTTCAGTTAAATATATTTGTTTTCCTTAAATTTAATTAACATTATTAATTAACAATGTAACATTATTCTCATCTGAATTATAAATAATTGCTTTCTGTATAAAATAATACTACCATTAAAAACGCATTCGATTTTCATTTTTAATCAATGTAGAATGTGTAAGATCAGTGCTCCGAGGACGAGAAATGAAAACCAATGATATGAGTTGGATAAATATGTTTTGCTTTTAAAACAGTGTGTGTGTGTGTGTGTGTGTGTGTGAGAGAGAGAGAGAGAGAGAGAGAGAGAGAGAGAGATTGGGTCACAGTTGTAGGTTACAGTTTGACAAGAGTTTACAGTGTGACAAAAGCACAATGTTGTGTTTTATTGCGAGTGTACACCAAATATAAGTAAACACTTTGCAGGTTTAATGATCTGTATGAACAAAATGACGGAGTATGTTTTTTATGTTTCCACTATTCGATCGCGGCCGCGCCTCTCTCTCTCACACATACACACACACACACTCCAGCATTGCAATCTTGACATCGCAGCCTGTTCATTATGCGGTCACACCAAACGCGAATAGAGCGTCAAATTCACGTCTAGTTCGACGCTAGTCCAAAGCGAATAGGACGCGCGTATAAAGCAAACGTTTGAAGTGAACGCGCGTTCAGAGCTAAGCCGATGGTACAGATTATGTGTCCCTAAAGAACCCGCGTATCTAACAGTAGTTCCGCATTACATTAATTAATTTTCACACGAGTTTTATTTATTTTTATACCGTGTATTCTCCGTGTAAATTCGTGCACCGAACCGTGACGCCCGTACCGTTTCGGTTCGGTACAAATACATGTACCGTTCCACCCCTAGTGTAAATGTACTGCGGTAATGATGTGTTGTGTGTAAATGTACCATGCTAATGATGTGTTGTGTGTAAATGTACCATGCTAATGATGTGTTGTGTGTAAATGTACTGCGGTAATGATTTGCTGTGTGTAGCCTATAAATGAATGTATATGTCCAAAAAACGGATAATGTCATCATACTTGTAGTGCTATCGTCGAGTAATAATCTGTTTGGTTGTAAAATGCATTACCTGAATGAAATGAACTAGAATCATTCATTCACAGACATCATACGAAGATGTTCAACTAGATCTTCATCGCTGGCAAAAATATGATGCATTTGCAGATTTGCTTTCACTAGACTAAACTGTAGGTCCACGGCCACTTCATCCAACGCTCTTGATGTTCTTAAATCTTCCTGTTACGACTCCGTGTTGAGTGTGAATTGAAAGCGCTTCAGACGATTCAGTGCGCGAGGAACTGAACAGATCATTCAAACTGATTCGCGAACCGATTTAGACAGATCTGCCAACTTGTTTAATGAAGTCTTTGAACAGAATCGACTCAAAAGAGTGATTCATTTGTGAATGGAGCATCGCTCATGCCCATAAAAAAGACACGCTTGGAATAAACTACGCATTTAACAACATGTATTGCATTAAAATAAAGTAACGAGAGGAACGTCGCCCAACGTAGTGAAGTAAATGTAGCCTACTTTGTTACTACCATAGACGGTTACTACCATGGACAGTAAAGGTTAGTCTACTACCCACCTCTGTTGGGCGCAGAGTTAACGGTCACGACAATGCTCTTCTTCTGTTGTTTGTTTACACTATGTAGGGGCGACAGTGGCTCAGTGGTTCATGTAGGTTGTCTACAAACCGAAAGGTTGGTGGTTCAATCCCCGGTTCCACCTGACCCAAGTGTCGAGGTGTCTTTGAGCAAGACACCTAACCCCAGCTGCTCCCGGCGAGCTGGATGGCGCCTTGCATGGCTGACACCTGCCGTCGGTGTATGAATGAGTGAGTGAATGGGTGAATGTGAGGCAATATGTAAAGCGCTTTGGTGGCCGTTTGGGTCTGTGAAAGCGCTATATAAAGGCAGTCCATTTACCATTTATGTATAAAACACTGGTATCCTAGATCGCGCAGGAGGGGGTTTCATTCATGTTAGTGGCACCTTGTGTCCCCGACAGGAAAATACCCTGCTGCGCGATCTAGGACAGTAGGCGCGCCGTCAATTATGTCACATTGGAATTGCGCGAAAATATAACGATATTCGAATAAGCAATTTTATGATCGAATTTCGAACGCAGTTCGACTATTCGACTATTCGAAGATCGCGACTCATCCCTAGTGTAAATGTACCGCGGTCATGATGTGCTGTGTGTAAATCTACCATGCTAATTATGTATTGTGTGTAAATGTACCGCAGTAATGATGTGCTGTGTGTTAATGTACCGCGGTAATGATGTGCTGTGTGTAAATCTACCATGCTAATTATGTATTGTGTGTAAATGTACCATGCTAATGATGTGTTGTGTGTAAATGTACCGCAGTAATGATGTGTTGTGTGTTAATGTACCGCGGTAATGATGTGTTGTGTGTAAATGTACCGCGGTCATGATGTGCTGTGTGTAAATGTACCGCAGTAATGATGTGTTGTGTGTAAATGTACCGCAGTAATGATGTGTTGTGTGTAAATGTACCGCGGTCATGATGTGCTGTGTGTAAATCTACCATGCTAATTATGTATTGTGTGTAAATGTACCATGCTAATGATGTGTTGTGTGTAAATGTACCGCAGTAATGATGTGTTGTGTGTTAATGTACAGCGGTAATGATGTGAGGTGTGTAAATGTACCACGGTAATGATGTGAGGTGTGTAAATGTACCACGGTAATGATGTGTTGTGTGTAAATGTACTGTGGTAATGATGTGCTGTGTGTAAATGTACCACGGTAATGATGTGTTGTGTGTAAATGTACTGTGGTAATGATGTGAGGTGTGTAAATGTACCACGGTAATGATGTGAGGTGTGTTAATGTACCGCGGTAATGATGTGAGGTGTGTAAATGTACCGCGGTAATGATGTGCTGTGTGTAAATGTACCGCGGTAATGATGTGAGGTGTGTAAATGTACCACGGTAATGATGCGCTGTGTGTAAATGTACCACAGTAATGATGTGCTGTGTGTAAATGTACCACGGTAATGATGTGCTGTGTGTAAATGTACCACGGTAATGATGTGTTGTGTGTAAATGTACCACGGTAATGATGTGAGGTGTGTAAATGTACCGCGGTAATGATGTGCTGTGTGTAAATGTACCGCAGTAATGATGTGAGGTGTGTAAATGTACCGCGGTAATGATGTGAGGTGTGTAAATGTACCACGGTAATGATGTGCTGTGTGTAAATGTACCACAGTAATGATGTGCTGTGTGTAAATGTACCACGGTAATGATGTGCTGTGTGTAAATGTACCGCAGTAATGATGTGCTGTGTGTAAATGTACCACGGTAATGATGTGCTGTGTGTAAATGTACCACGGTAATGATGTGCTGTGTGTAAATGTACAGCGGTAATGATGTGAGGTGTGTAAATGTACCACAGTAATGATGTGCTGTGTGTAAATGTACCGCGGTCATGATGTGTTGTGTGTAAATGTACCACAGTAATGATTTGTTGTGTGTAAATTAGGGGTGGGCGATATCTCGATATCTCGACGATTTTGACATATCGTATATATCGATATATTGTTTATATTTAATCCTGATTTCGCCACTTTGCTTGTTTGCCTTCTCTGTGCTGTGCTCGCCCCCGCCTCCTTGCTTTTGTTCCCCCTCACCTCGCGTGTTGTCTCATTCAACAATTGTCTCATCCGCAACCAGCCCGGAGGCTACAGAACTCCGAGTGTGTCTGCGCGCGAGCGACAGAGCACGAGAGAAACCGAGTGTGAGCATTAATTGCATTAGTAAATTGGTAGCCTACATACTACAATAATTACTATATAAGAGACATGGAAGTTCGATTAATGGACTCCAGTAATCAGAAGGCTACTACAAACGTCTTGATTTAAACTATTGCAGGGCTCGAATTTTGGCGCGGGTATTGCGCATAATTCTAATCATTCCCGCAGGTCTCCCATTTATAATGCGGGAAATTCCCGCAATCGTAATCCACACAGATTATAAAATCAAATCATTCTTTTAACAACTATCTGCCAGACGCAATTTCACAAACAGCGTGAGTGTTCAGCGGTGCCGCTTCTTTCTCTTCTCTCATAATGTGTTGTGCAAGGCAAGCATCAAGAGCTGCGGCGATAAAACACACTCGCGTTTAGGAGTCGGGACATGATGGATATTCACTCGCACAATCGGGCCAGCAGTGCATCGTGACTGAAGTTTACCATTTGCACGTCTTTTTAAGTCTTACCAGTTTAAACATTCAAGCGATTTTAAACTAATCAGTGCTCGCGCGCTCTCTGAGAGATTATTTTCTATGCGCACATTCATAGAAAATCCGCCTTAAGAACAGCTGGCCAGTAACAAAAGTTATTTTTCGCGGATTATATTGCTTTAACACGCAAAATTGTCAATTTCGGTCGTCGTGAGTATACTCTAAACATAGTCAGTTTTGTCTTTAATAAGCATAAAACGCATGCCAGTATAATGAACACAGGATCCGTGCACTACCTCTTAAAGTGACGGCAGCCATATGTGAATCATTCATTTTGTTGTCAATACAACAAAAGATAGCTTTAAGTTAAAGGGATCAGGATTAATAACCTATGTATTTAATTTATTCAGGACTAAAATACTACTCAGTGTTATTTTCCATTTGATTACTTTATTCAGTTTCTGTATATGAATCACGTGATTAATAATGATGACGAAATTCAGGCCCTGTGTTTAATTTTTCTCATTTGGTTACATTCTGTTATGGAAAATTAATTTTCTATTGATTGTAGGCCTATATTTTGAGTTGTATTCACATCCATTTTCCTGTAAAGATATCGAGATCTATATCGAATATCGAGATATAGCAAAATATATCGAGATATATTTTTTGCTCCATATCGCCCAGCCCTAGTGTAAATGTACAGCGGTAATGATGTGCTGTGTGTAAATGTACCGCGGTAATGATGTGCTGTGTGTAAATGTACCGCGGTAATGATGTGTTGTGTGTAAATGTACAGCGGTAATGATGTGCTGTGTGTAAATGTACAGCGGTAATGATGTGCTGTGTGTAAATGTACCGCGGTAATGATGTGTTGTGTGTAAATGTACCGCGGTAATGATGTGTTGTGTGTAAATGTACCGCGGTAATGATGTGTTGTGTGTAAATGTACCGCGGTCATGATGTGTTGTGTGTAAGGGTGTACTCACACTAGCCAGTTTGAACCGTGCCCGAGTGCGTTTGACCACCAAAGCGCGGTTCGTTTGACTAGTGTGAGTGCTCCGAACCGTGCCCGGGCGCGGCTCGATTAGCCGGCCCTGGCACGCTTGGAAGAGGTGGGCCAGAGCACGGTTCAGTTGGACTCGTGCGCGGTTCGCATGCAGTGTGAGCGCTAACCGTGCTGGAGCACGGAACAGGACGCGTGATGTCATGGTTTTGCGACGCTCCAAAACCAACACAGTCCGTAATCAAAGCTGCAAAGTCCTTGCTGCACTTCAGCTGGTACCTTGCAAACCTCCTCATACGAGCAGCACGATTACGTGAAAATTTTCGCGCCACTAAGGCGACGCATCTGTTTAACAACAGGCTGTGAGAGGGCTGTGGACCACCGTGGACCAAACGACACAAAATTATCCACAAAGAAAACAGAGCGATGGACTCCATTGTGTTCAGAGAGCGCCGCTCTTCTTGTTTATCCCGAAACCGTCGCACGCACCATAATGACGTAAGCGTGCTCTGGCACGAATGCTGAAACCCTATGTGAGTGCAGGCCAGAGGGGGAGTGGGGAGGGGGGGCAATCGTACTCGGGCCCGGTTCATGGCAACCGTGCCTAGTATGATGTGAGGTGTGTAAATGTACCGCGGTAATGATGTGTTGTGTGTAAATGTACCACGGTAATGATGTGTTGTGTGTAAATGTACTGCGGTAATGATGTGTTGTGTGTAAATGTACAGCGGTAATGATGTGTTGTGTGTAAATGTACCGTGGTAATGATGTGTTGTGTGTAAATGTACAGCGGTAATGATGTGTTGTGTGTAAATGTACCGCGGTCATGATGTGTTATGTGTAAATGTACCGCGGTAATGATGTGTTGTGTGTAAATGTACCGTAATTGTACTGTGGTAATGATGTGTTGTGTGTAAATGTACAGCGGTAATGATGTGCTGTGTGTAAATGTACCGCGGTAATGATGTGTTGTGTGTAAATGTACCGTAATTGTACTGTGGTAATGATGTGTTGTGTGTAAATGTACTGCGGTAATGATGTGCTGTGTGTAAATGTACCGCGGTAATGATGTGTTGTGTGTAAATGTACCGCGGTAATGATGTGTTGTGTGTAAATGTACCGTTATTGTACTGTGGTAACGATGTGTTGTGTGTGCAGGAGTTACTGCAGGGTCAGAGCTCCACAGCAGCAGAACTGGGTGAGTGTCACCGCTGTACAGCCAACATTTGATCAATTAAAATTATTCTCTTCATTCTGAGTGTGTGTGTGTGTGTTTATGTTGAGCAGCTGTGTGTACGAGCAGCTCAGGCGATCTAGAGATTCAAGCGATCAGAGATGAGCTACAGCTGACCCTCAGAAAAGAAAGAGAGACTGAGGTAAAACACACATCAAATCATATCATTTTTATGGCACTTTTTACCTAAACTTTGGAAAAGCCGATTTGTTTACTGAATAAATTAAAAAGATTAATGGTAATGATGTGCCAGGAGCTATATCTATTTCTATTTGATATATCCAAATATTATATCTATTTTGTTACAAGAATTCACATAAGGTCCCAAGAATATGCTATTTTTGTTTGTTTTCTAGAAATATAATAGATAATGGGTGGATTCAGATAATAGGTGAATATAAACAAAAGAATAACGATAAAAGAATAATGAAGATTTATTGAGTGAGAACAATAGAACATGAATTGAGCAGTTCTCGTCGCCAGACATTAGATAACAGACTGCAAATGGGTGTTTAAAGGTCAATAAAATATTTGATTAGCTCTTATCAGCCTTCTCTAAAAACTCACGACATGATCTTAGAAAATGTTTAATAAAATTAATAGTTTTAGAGAGATGATATCCTCAGATCTGAAATGAAGCATTACCACACTTGTGGCTTCCGTTTAAGTGGTTATAATTTGTTATACTACATTCGCATAATATTTTTATACATTTTAAAATTATATTCTTAATCATTTTATTTTTGTTTTTTAAGTTTGAGCTTATATATCTCTATATTAATAGCAGCCTGAGTAGGCTAATTCTTGAACTGTCATGTTGGCTTTCTAAATATATGTTGATTATGTGTCTATTCAGAATGACTTATTAGCAGAAACCTTTTTATTTTGGGTATGTCATTTATACCCCGCTTGCCAAAATGGGGTGTGGGGTAAAGGATTAAAACAGTAAAGGTTTTGAAATAATTGCTTTGGGGCTGCAGACTCACCCGAACTACCCAGACTTAAAAGTAATACTGAAATATTGTATGAATTATTCTCAAATTGAGCTCACTAGCTGAAATAAACACTAATTAATTTGTTCTCAAACAGTGGACAATAAAACAAAAACAATACAAAAAAAGCTTTAAAATTAAGCTAAAACAACCAAACATCAAGGCAGTTCTAGACCCAGAAACGTCATTTAAACACCATGGATGTTCGTGTGTGTGTGTGTGTGTGTGTGTGTGTGTGTGTGTGTGTAGCGGGAGCTGTCAGAGTTGCGGTCTCTTTTGGCTGCGAGGCATCATGACACACTGAGAACTGATCAGCAGGTAAGATCATGAGTTATTGGCCTGTATATGCGTGTGAGTGTGTATGTGTGTGTGTACTCATATTGTGTGTGTGTGTGTGTTTCAGTGTGTTCTGCAGCAGCTCGTGTCAGAGCAGCAGGCGCTGAATGAAGCTCTGAGAGCCGAAAAGAGTCTTTATCAGTCGCTCAGAGGCATCCAGAGTCCAGCAGAAAGGTCAGAACACAAGCACAGATCCTTCATATCTGTGTGTGTATGTGTGTGTCCATGACAGAGATGCTCACGAGTCTCTGAACTAGAGTCCAAGTCAAGTCTCAAGTCTCTGAACTAGAGTCCAAGTCAAGTCTCAAGTCTCTTGTGGTTATAATAAGTGTTGCATCACGTACAGCGACCCATCCAGGCTGCTTAGAACACTTCATAGCTATATATAAGGAATTCAAAGCATGTAATGTTATTATGACTCCTTTATCTATTAGCATACAGTATCAGCTTTGATTTAGGTATATAATCAGTGTAAACAGGCTATTTCAACATGACAAAAACACCAAGAATGCTTTACTTTTAAGTTAATATCTGCATCTGTAAAAATTGAGGTTCTGAAGAAAAAGGACTCTCATGTCTGTTGCTGAATTATAATGAAAGACCTTGGCTCCTATTGTGCTGGCTCTGTGTAGCCATAAGACCAAATATAGAAAATGTTATAGCCTACCTCACAGCATTAAAATTGACATAGTGCAAAACATCACAGTGTGGCTAAATGCAAAACACTATTGGAACCAAATGATGTAAAATACATGGTTCCTCATACGTTCATATATTTGTGGCGGCCCGCCACAATATCAACACTGGCTGACCGCCACACATTGATTTTCGATTTTTTTATTTTATTTTTACTAAGCCTATTTAAAATCGTATTTGATTGCAGAGTGCCGTAGCGCATTCGCGCCGCACTACCTCTCGCTCGTCCCTCTCTTTCTCTCTCTCTCGTTCACCCATACCTCTCGCGCTCTCTCTCCCTCATGGAACACCATGAGGTGCACGCGCGCAGATACCGCATATTTTGCATTGAGCGCTTCTTTTATTTGGCCCGTCTTGTTTGAAGTTTTTAAACCCAAAGCTTACGATGAATGGCACAGCAGCGGCCGTAGTACGTGTTATGTAGGCAGGTTTTAGGTAACGGGTCGGAGGGAGGGGAATAACAGAGAGCTCATCAGACGTTTCCTAAAAATAAACATTGTTCACGAGTCCCGCAGCTCGAGTCCGAGTCGAGTCTGAAGTCTTTCGAGGACGAGTCTCAAGTCGAGTCTGAAGTCACTGTGTGTGCGACTAAAGTCGCACTCGAGTCCGAGTCTCAAACTCGAGTCCCCATCTCTGGTCCATGACACTGATGCTATCCATCCGTTTTCGTTTAGGAATGCACAAAAGTTAAAGGAGGAGTTCAGGAATACTCTGTAATTTTCTGACCATTCACAGTTCTAAACCTGTATGTCTGTGTTTCTTCTGTGGATCACAAAAGACAGACAGTGTACTTGTGTTCAGTCGAGCTACAGTCATCACTCATCCGTCTGTCCAACAGTGACCCAATGCCTGAACAAATATTTGAGGAATTAAATGCAGTGTGTGTCCAGTTGATACTGAACTTTTAAAGTACATGTATTGACAAAATGACAAAAACAACCCATTGGAAATACCACAAAAACATAAAAAAGAACCATAATAGTCCTATCATGCACTGTATTCCATGTCTCCTGAAGTCATGTATGTTTCTGTGAGGTTCTGGGAAGTTTTTCACGGTTCAACAGCTTCTGTTTAATGTGTGATGTCATCGATAAAAGAGAAGAAAGTAAGTCACGTGTACGATGACACAAATGTTGACAGAATGTTGATTTCTACCTGAACTCTTTCTTTAAGAGCCGAAGCTGTTCGCAGTGAAGGTTCTGTTGTAACCTTTGTGTGTTTGGAGTGAAGGTTCTGTTGTAACCTGTGTGTGTTTGGAGTGAAGGTTCTGTTGTAACCTGTGTGTGTTTGGAGTGAAGGTTCTGTTGTAACCTGTGTGTGTTTGGATTGAAGGTTCTGATGTAACCTGTGTGTGTTTGAAGAGAAGGTTCTGATGTAACCTGTGTGTAGTTGAAGTGAAGGTTCTGTTGTAACCTGTGTGTGGATAAAGTGAAGGTTCTGTTGTAACCTGTGTGTGTTTGGAGTGAAGGTTCTGTTGTAACCTGTGTGTGTTTGGATTGAAGGTTCTGATGAAACCTGTGTGTGGTTAAAGTGAAGGTTCTGTTGTAACCTATGTGTGTTTGGAGTGAAGGTTCTGTTGTAACCTGTGTGTGGATAAAGTGAAGGTTCTGTTGTAACCTGTGTGTGTTTGAAGTGAAGGTTCTGTTGTAACCTGTGTGTGTTTGGATAGAAGGTTCTGTTGTAACCTGTGTGTTTGAAGATAAGGTTCTGGTGTAACTTGTGTGTGGTTGAAGTGAAGGTTCTGTTGTAACCTGTGTGTGTTTGGATTGAAGGTTCTGATGAAACCTGTGTGTGGTTGAAGTGAAGGTTCTGTTGTAACCTGTGTGTGTTTGGATTGAAGGTTCTGATGTAACCTGTGTGTGTTTGAAGATAAGGTTCTGGTGTAACTTGTGTGTGTTTGGATTGAAGGTTCTGTTGTAACCTGTGTGTGTTTGAACTGAAGGTTCTGTTGTAACCTGTGTGTTTTTGAAGAGAAGGTATTGATGTAACCTGTGTGTGGTTGAAGAGAAGGTTCTGTTGTAACCTGTGTGTGTTTGAACTGAAGGTTCTGTTGTAACCTGTGTGTGTTTGGATTGAAGGTTCTGATGAAACCTGTGTGTGTTTGGATTGAAGGTTCTGTTGTAACCTGTGTGTGGTTGAAGTGAAGGTTCTGATGTAACCTGTGTGTGGTTGAAGTGAAGGTTCTGTTGTAACCTGTGTGTTTTTGAAGAGAAGGTATTGATGTAACCTGTGTGTGGTTGAAGAGAAGGTTCTGTTGTAACCTGTGTGTGTTTGAACTGAAGGTTCTGTTGTAACCTGTGTGTGTTTGGATTGAAGGTTCTGATGAAACCTGTGTGTGTTTGGATTGAAGGTTCTGTTGTAACCTGTGTGTGGTTGAAGTGAAGGTTCTGATGTAACCTGTGTGTGGTTGAAGAGAAGGTTCTGTTGTAACCTGTGTGTGTTTGGATTGAAGGTTCTGATGAAACCTGTGTGTGGTTAAAGTGAAGGTTCTGTTGTAACCTGTGTGTGTTTGGATTGAAGGTTCTGTTGTAACCTGTGTGTGGTTAAAGTGAAGGTTCTGTTGTAACCTGTGTGTGTTTGGATTGAAGGTTCTGATGAAACCTGTGTGTGGTTAAAGTGAAGGTTCTGTTGTAACCTGTGTGTGTTTGGAGTGAAGGTTCTGTTGTAACCTGTGTGTGGTTGAAGTGAAGGTTCTGTTGTAACCTGTGTGTGTTTGGATTGAAGGTTCTGATGAAACCTGTGTGTGGTTGAAGAGAAGGTTCTGTTGTAACCTGTGTGTGTTTGGATTGAAGGTTCTGATGAAACCTGTGTGTGGTTGAAGAGAAGGTTCTGTTGTAACCTGTGTGTGTTTGGATTGAAGGTTCTGATGAAACCTGTGTGTGTTTGGATTGAAGGTTCTGTTGTAACCTGTGTGTGGTTAAAGTGAAGGTTCTGATGAAACCTGTGTGTGGTTAAAGTGAAGGTTCTGTTGTAACCTGTGTGTGTTTGGATTGAAGGTTCTGATGTAACCTGTGTGTGTTTGAAGAGAAGGTTCTGATGTAACCTGTGTGTAGTTGAAGTGAAGGTTCTGTTGTAACCTGTGTGTGTTTGGATTGAAGGTTCTGATGAAACCTGTGTGTGGTTAAAGTGAAGGTTCTGTTGTAACCTGTGTGTGTTTGGAGTGAAGGTTCTGTTGTAACCTGTGTGTGTTTGGATTGAAGGTTCTGATGAAACCTGTGTGTGGTTGAAGTGAAGGTTCTGTTGTAACCTGTGTGTGTTTGGATTGAAGGTTCTGATGTAACCTGTGTGTGTTTGAAGAGAAGGTTCTGATGTAACCTGTGTGTAGTTGAAGTGAAGGTTCTGTTGTAACCTGTGTGTGTTTGGATTGAAGGTTCTGATGAAACCTGTGTGTGGTTAAAGTGAAGGTTCTGTTGTAACCTGTGTGTGTTTGGAGTGAAGGTTCTGTTGTAACCTGTGTGTGGATAAAGTGAAGGTTCTGTTGTAACCTGTGTGTGTTTGGAGTGAAGGTTCTGTTGTAACCTGTGTGTGTTTGAAGTGAAGGTTCTGTTGTAACCTGTGTGTGTTTGGAGAGAAGGTTCTGTTGTACCCTGTGTGTTTGAAGATAAGGTTCTGGTGTAACTTGTGTGTGGTTGAAGTGAAGGTTCTGTTGTAACCTGTGTGTGTTTGGAGTGAAGGTTCTGATGAAACCTGTGTGTGTTTGAAGATAAGGTTCTGGTGTAACTTGTTTGTGTTTGGATTGAAGGTTCTGTTGTAACCTGTGTGTGTTTGAAGAGAAAGTTCTGTTGTAACCTGTGTGTGGTTGAAGTGAAGGTTCTGTTGTAACCTGTGTGTGTTTGGATTGAAGGTTCTGATGAAACCTGTGTGTGGTTAAAGTGAAGGTTCTGTTGTAACCTGTGTGTGTTTGGAGTGAAGGTTCTGATGAAACCTGTGTGTGTTTGAAGAGAAGGTTCTGTTGTAACCTGTGTGTGTTTGGATTGAAGGTTCTGATGTAACCTGTGTGTGTTTGAAGAGAAGGTTCTGATGTAACCTGTGTGTAGTTGAAGTGAAGGTTCTGTTGTAACCTGTGTGTGGTTAAAGTGAAGGTTCTGTTGTAACCTGTGTGTTTTTGAAGAGAAGGTTCTGTTGTAACCTGTGTGTGTTTGAAGAGAAGGTTCTGTTGTAACCTGTGTGTGTTTGGATTGAAGGTTCTGATGTAACCTGTGTGTGTTTGAAGAGAAGGTTCTGATGTAACCTGTGTGTAGTTGAAGTGAAGGTTCTGTTGTAATCTGTGTGTGGTTGAAGAGAAGGTTCTGTTGTAACCTGTGTGTGTTTGGATTGAAGGTTCTGTTGTAACCTGTGTGTGTTTGGATTGAAGGTTCTGTTGTAACCTGTGTGTGTTTGAACTGAAGGTTCTGTTGTAACCTGTGTGTGTTTGGATTGAAGGTTCTGATGAAACCTGTGTGTGGTTAAAGTGAAGGTTCTGTTGTAACCTGTGTGTG